GTGCCCCAAGGCAACCATTGAAAAGACCGAGAATGACATTGAGTTCTGTCAGCGGCTTCGGCTTCATCACGCAGTGGAGCGGACGGTGGTAATCATGAGGCACTTCAGCTCGAATCGAGAGGCGGGGAAAGTCAGGTCTTCCCTCCAGGTACGCAAGCTGACTAACTGCTTCCCCAGTAGTGCCTTTCTGTGCTTCTCATTGTAGGGCTCCTGCATTAAGAATGAACAACATGTAAGAACAGGGGGTACCCGTACCATTGACTTGAGGGGATGCTAAGGAAGCTAGCCGCAGTAAGTGCGCTGGCCGCAGGTGGTGTTCCGGGGCTTCCAGGTTTTGGGGCACCTGACGAAGCACGACTTGCTGTCTGTGGATGCCATCGTCGACAAGTCCGTTGCACCGGACATCTTGCTGTCGGCATCTCACAGGGGCGTTGCCTGTTGCTTGCAACTCTTGACTTCTTTATCATTTTCTTCCTGCTTCTTCTTTGCCTGCTGTCTATTCGACGAGTCCTGCTTGGATCTTCGTCTGCCCATGTCTTCCAGCCTTTCTAGCTCCTCGTTGCTCTCTGATTCCCCGGTTCGGGCGGTGTGACGGGCCTTTGCATCGGCTTGGCACCGAGAGTTCTTCCCTTTCCTGGCTCGCAGTTCGCCGAATCAACGGTCTCGCGCCGACCGGTGAGCATCGCAGCTACCGAAACAGCAGAAGATAAAAGACCATGTGTCTCTGTCCACTGTCCACGAATATGCAGCATGCAGCTCAACCAGGTCCTAGTGGTTGGGCACAATGTGGTTGGGGTCCTGCACTTGCTTCACTGACCAACGGTCTACCATTCCTCGTCACATGTTTCGTTGCTTGGCCTCGGTGCGGCGGTAGCTGCGGTAGCTGGTGCCGCTGATTCGGCTGCATAGAGTTTCTGGCAAATCCGGGCTATGTTTTGTGGTGGGCGCCAGCTCAGCTTTGGTGTCGCCAAAGGGAGAACGGAAAACGGTGCCGCAAAAGTGTAACGCCAAACTCCAGAAGGTTACTAGCCCGAACCTCGCAGCAAACAAGAGCTACTTCATGTCGGGCTAGCCCGTCATCAGATCCCCAAGAATCGTGCTAAAGCTGCGGGAACCATACCGAAATCCCAAAGTCTTTGTGGCTTTCTCTGAATGTCGAGTCCTTGAGGTCATCGGACAACTTCCCAAGCGACCAGGAGATGCAACTCATCGCCTGCCAGGCGGTTGAGGGGAGGCCCCTGCCCCTGCCGGCGTTGTGTCAGTTGTGGTGCTACGTGGAGGTGCTGCGGCGTGTGTACATCCGGGCCCGTGAGATGACGATGGCGGGCTCCCGGGTCGTAACCTTGGGGAAGCAGTTGGAGGAGGCGGATCCCGCCGCAAACGGCAAACGGGCCGCCTGCCTGGGCGCAGTGTTCCGGGTCGCTTTCTTGTCGCCCTGAGGTGTGGACATTCCATGGGCTGGCTCGGATCTTGACGTCGATGAAGCTTTTCCCGCAAGATGCAGAAATACAGCTCGAGTGCTGTGTCCTTCTTGCCTCGATTGGGGAGCTGCTCCACAACAACGGCTATGCCACGGAGGTTTTCAAGATCCTGGAGCTGGCCATGCGCAAGCATGGGCAAAGGGCACCTTGGCAAGTTGCAAGCTGCAAGGCCCTGCAAGGCTTTGAGAGTTTTGGGGGCGCGGAGGTGTGTTCGCGTCCTTCTTTGAACTGCTCGGAGTCGGAGGCTGATCTGGTCTCCCAGGGCATTCTGATCATCGCTCGGCTCGGCGCCTCCTTCTTGGCCCTTGAGAACCGGGGCATCCGGACGATCGTGAACGCCATGGCCAGGCACCGCTCCGACAAGGAGCAGAGACGAAAGGAAAACTGACACTGACACGCTCATCCTCTCGTGCCAGTGCCGCTTGCATAATTAATTCATCACCTTCAGGAGCTGCAGAAGACGGCGGTCCGGGCTTTGTTCGCCCTGTCCAAGGACGAGCTCGCCTTGAAAGCAAGTCGCTCGGGCGGAGGCGTGGGGGCCATCTTTGCGGCCATGGCCGCCCACCCGGACGCCACGCAGGTGTTGCAGGAGGGCACCCGAGCTCTGGAGAAGCACTGCCCGCGGGCCGTGGCCAGCATCGCGCGGCTCTGTGGCGATTTGATCGCGGTGCTCCCACCCGTCGTCTGGTCTTCGGGGCCGGACTTGGGAGGAATGCTGCAGGTCAGGCCCTTAAACTTAGCCCAGAGAGGAATGCGAAGGCCGCAGGGGCCAGGGCGAGACGTTGCCTGCTTTCGCCAGGTCCACATGGATGTTGAGGATTTGAAGTCGAATGGTTGGGCGCCGCGAGGAGTGGCTCTCGGGGGATGATGTGATGACTGGTGACTGTGAGGGGTTGAGGTGTGGCGCTCGTGCTTGGTCCCTGCCCAGGCATCGAGAACTTCGTTGCCGAGTTCTCTCCTCCCGCGAACGACTCGCGTTCCAAAGACGAGGAGGATTTGCTGCATCTGACTGCGGGTTTCCGTCGAAAGCAAGGCTTAAGGGATGACATCGATGCAGCAGACTCGCAGTGGATGTCCTTGGGGAGTGTGAGGGTGATGATGCCCCGGACCTCCACACACAACATCCTGCAGAAGGACATTAACGCACTTTCCGGGCGCGGCTGCGACGTGGAGATCTTGAGGCAAGCCGGCCCCAAGAGGGAGCACGTGCAGGGCATCTGTGAGGTCCTTGCAGAGGGAGTCGGGCCAAAGAAGTACACGGCCCAGGACGGAGAGTTGTTGGTACTCATCTTGGGCCACTTTGCTTGGTTCTCACATGCGCACGCCAGCGAGATCATTGAGTTCGGAGGTCATCAGGCGATCATGGAGTGGTTAAGAACTGATCGCTTTAAAGGCCAACGGGATCCAAGGGACGATGCTCTGGCCTTTCCAATGCAGCGCGCGTGTTTGTCTACATTGAGCTGCTTGTGTCGCCACGGTATCGACACCGCAGGGCATTTGCTGGAGCTGGAGGCTGTGGAGACGGCAGTTCAGTTTACAGGACATTTGGAGGCTGGACTGCGATGTGCCTCCCTGCGGCTTCTGGCAAGGCTTCTGCCCTATGCTGTGAAGCGGTACACGGGGAAAGACTCCAAAGACTCCATGCCCATGGACGACATCTGGCCCCCAGTCCTTTGCGAACTGCGGAGCGGCGAAGAAGTTTTGCGCACAGCTGCGGCCACCTGTGCCGTCGAGGCCATCAACAGTCAAACGCTGCCAACGGATCCCCAGATGACCCAGAACTTGGCACAGGCTCTGCTACACGCACTGGATGCCGCAACATTGGCAGACTCTGCTGCTGGTGCCCTTCCAGTTCTGATTGCCGTCTCCCGCATGGTCTCAGACACGGAGGACGAGTATGCATCCAGCGCTATCAAGAACTGTGACACGCTCATCCCGCTCTTGACGGACTGGCTCCCGAAGGCAACCAGAACATGCGCAGTTTCCACAGCGAAGGCTGCCGGTCTTGCTGCCGCCACCACCTTGCGCAACTTAAGCCCCTCGTCGTCAGCACCAGGGCCTGACAGGGGTCTTCGGTCTTCTTGTGTGCCGCACGCTGGGGGGGGGGGGCTTGCTGAGGTGATGGCGGTGCTGCATTTGGAGGCCCGCCCTTCCGGTACAAACGGCGAGAAGCGAATTTCACATCAAAAAAGGACTTGTGAGCGTAGTCGTCAGTGTGCTCGTGCTTCTGTTGCATGTTTTAGCGACCGGAGGTGCCGAGCTCGCGGCCATCCTGCGCTACGGCACCAGCGTCTCTGCAGAGCACCCGCCCGCAGCTGAGCCTCTGAGCCTCTTTTGGATTGCCTTTGAGAGGTGAGAGAGACAGATTTGTCTTGGTGAGGTTGCAGGAGGCCTGCAAGGCAGCGATAGAGCTGGCCGTGCAGCGGGAGCCGGATGCCAGCTTGCTGGTGCAGATGCTCACGGGGAGGTTGCGCTTGGGCGCCAGCGGCGAGGAGAAGATCGCGGATCTGACGATCTTGATCCGCATCGCACAGAGGGCCGTGGTTTTGATCAAGCAGGATCCGAACCAGGCCACGGAGTCGCTGCTGATGGCGCTGGAGGATTCCTCCGAGCTTATCTCGGACATACCTGCCGATCTGCCCGGCGACAAGGACATGGAGGGCATCCTCAAGGAGCTCACGACCCTCACCAGCAAGAGCATCGGCTTGGCGGATGGGAGTAAGGAGGAGGGGGAGGAGGGGGAAAAGGAAGCCCCATGACCACTCTCTTCAGAAAGGAGCGCTTCCTTTCCGACGTCTCATTCTTAGATGGGCTGGCCGAAGAGACTGAGGCCTCAGTCCGGGCCTCCCGGTTTCACCCGAATCTGAATCAGAATCGTCTCGGATTCAAGGGAAGTCCTCGCAGAATGCGATGAACGGTCTCACCCTCAAGACGTGTCACCGTGTCACAGAAGTTCGGCGGGTTCAGGAGCGTCGAACCTCGTGCAAGGCGCGTCCCCTTAGGCCTCGCTGAGCGAGCAAGGGGAGCGTTGCTTTCGGGGCACCCGAGCAGACAGTACGGTTCGCAGAGTCATGGAGCCTGGCATATTGCATGTGACTGATGTGGGCAAGTGATGTTGGCGACTCTGTTGAGGTTGATCCCGGTAGTGTAGGGTAGGCAGGATGCAATTATTTTCTTTTGCGCGGTAGTTCCCTGCGATGCTTCGAAAAGCGCCAATGACAGCCACTTGTAGCAGGCACAATTACAGCCGGCTAAGCTCCAATATCTTTCTTGCTTGCCTGAAAGCAAGCACTTTCTGATGCTTGTTTCGACCGCGAGGTTACGCACATGACACAGACATTTAGGTCGGAACTCCAAACTCCAAGCGTTGTGGTTCCCCTTTACTAGATTGAGGGGGGCATTGGTTGTCGCAACGGGTCACATGTTAAGATGCTAGCCGTCAAACCATAGCCCATAGCCAATCAGCACTGCAACTCTTTTGCTGAAGCATGTAGCCTGCCAGCTGCAGCCTGCTGTGCAATGTACCAGCCATGGTCACAGCCAGGCATAGCGTTCCTTGGCAGGGAAACGAAGGATGCGTGAGACATCAAGATTGAAATGTCTGTTATTTGAGAGAGCTGGAACTGGAAGGTACGCACCAGTTGGTGGCAAACCGGCCAATGTTGTGCACGGCTATCCAGTTCGTCCAGGACACCCAGGCCCGCGTGGCAGGTAGCTTTCCCCGTTCCAACACCATCTGCGAGAGGCTACCCGCAGCCGATCCCACAACCGGTGCAGCCTGTTCTGCAGCCGGTCCACCATGCAGAAAGTCGACCGCACAGACCCAGCACCCAGTTGAGAGTGCCCTGGCCTTGACAGCATTCTTGCATAACTCCTTCTTCCCGAGCGGCGCTGGGTATGCTCTGCTTGTGTAAGTTTAAGGAGATTTCTCTCGAGTACTCCTATGCTGAACTGTCGGCGTCGACGAACCTTGTTCGCATGCAATGCCGAATCTCTTGGACCCAGACACCGCATATGCACGATACACTCTTTTGCCGCATGCGTTTCGCATCAGCTCCTGGGCCCAAGGAGCAACTGGCATGACTCCCGGCGGCTAGGTTCCGGGTCTTATGGCTCGGTTTACAAGGCTCGTCTCGAGGGCTCGAGAGCAGACCACTCTGTAGACGTGGCCTTTGCACCTTTGCTGCTGGAGGGTGAGCTGGAGGATGGCTCGGAGGTGGCCATCAAGGCCGGGCCTTCCGTTTCCGTCGGGTCAGCAAGCGCCCGAGCGCCTTCAGGCCATTGACCTCGGCGCCCTGGGTGCTTCGGGCACGGCCCCGGAAATGGCCGGGTTTGAGGAAGAGGCCGCGAGCTGCAAATCGATCTCTTCAGATCTTGGTCACACGGGTGCTTGAGCTCGCTCATGGGGGGAAAGGCTGTGTGTGTTGCAGGTGCAGATGCTGAGCAAATTCCGGCACCCCAACTTGGTCCCGGTCTCTGAATCTTTGTGTCTGTTGCGAAGAAGTACTCATGACGGCTCTCCTGCGAGGTGACCCTGCTGGGTTGGGGCAAGCACGACAGCGGCTCTGACAGGAAGCGCTACCTGGTCTACGAGCTCTTGTCGGGCGGGGACTGCTTCCAGCGATTACAGAAGAGCCGCTCGAACGAAAAGTCTCCTTTGCAAGCTCAGTTCCTTCGAAGCTGCGTGAAGAGAGCGCGCAAGTCAGACACGCGCCTCGTGTCAACTGTGGTTTTGCAGCAGCGAGGCAAGAAGCCGAGTGCGAACAGCCCCTTCTTGTGGTCGGGGGCCAACTAAAAACAAGGGTTGACATCACAAGCATATAGTACACCAAGTATGTGGCTGTATTCTCGCTTTCCTCCGAAGGTTTGAGCGGCTCAGCGTCTGCCTGGATGCAGCCGCAGGTGTTCAGACTTGAGTCCTTTGCGATTTAATGGCGTTCCTTGCTGCAGGTCTGTCCCACATGCTCAACTCGAAGCCAAAGGCTTTCCACAGGGACATCAAGTCCGCCAACATACTTTTAGTCCGGCGCTCGGTGTGCATTGAGACGTCACCACAGCAGAGATCCAAATTTCCACAGCAGCAGGATCGTCACGGAACTGCCAAAATGGCAGACTTCGGCTTGAGCTGCACGTCGAGCCATGCCAATTCGCTGCCAGCTCGGGCTCTCTTCCATGGGACATCATGTGGCTGTGGTGGTTATCTTGCATCAAAGTTAAGCTGCTCTTCCAGGCTGCATGTCACCGTCCGCACGATCAGCGGCACACCAGGACCGGCTGCCGGCGTCAGCTTCAGCTAGCTCAGCTTGCTGCCCGAGCCGTACCTTGTGCAGGCTACGCGTGCCCGATCTACTCGCGCACCGGCCGGGTCACCGAGGGCAGCGAGGTGCGGTGCCGTGGTATCTTGGTATCTGGGACGAGACGTGCGGGTTCAGCTCCAGACAGGTCCATTCCTTGGGGATGGTGATGCTGGAGCTCTTGACTGGCCTTGCTCCGGCGACAGCAGATCCCACCAGGCCGGGTGCAACGTCGCGGGTTAGTGGCGGCCGCTACGCCGCTACTGCAAAGCCAGGCCCGGTGGCATCGCCTACCAGGTTGCGGATGCGATCGCGCGGCTGCCTTAGAGAAGCGAGGAGCTCCAAAACTGAGTGAGATCGACATAGAGAGCTGCTTTAGAGCTCCTGACCGCCCTGACCGCCTCCTCCTAAAAGGCAGCACAGCCCCGGAGCGCTGGAGCGCTGCCTCTGCAGCCTGGATGCGAACGCCCGGCCCTCGGCGGAGCTCGCCCCAAGCGGTGTATCGCCACGAAGAGAGCTGTGAGTCCTTGCGCGTCGCTCCTCCAAGGCGGCTTGGCCGAAGGACTTGGCCAAAGAGATGGCCGAGCTGGCCTTGCGGGCGGTGCACTCGCAGGAGGAGGCCTCCACGCCACAACGCTGCGCGGGCGCTTGCGGGGGCGCGCCGCGGACCCGCCCGCCCGACGCTGTGAGGAGCGGCCCCGCTTCGTCGAGCTCGTCCGCACCCTCCGCAGGCCAGGCCCAAACCTTCAGGAAATCTGTGTGAGATCCTTCCGAGTGTGGCACTTTGAAGGCTCCTGGAGCGATTTCCCAAGCCCGTTCAGCGACTTGGCGAAACACCAGCACGCCAGCAGGCAACTGTGTTTTTTCAAGCAGATTCTGTCCCTGCAGGTCTGCGGCAATGGCAGCACTGCCACCGCCGACGGCACCGGCCGCATCCCCGACGTCGCCAGAGAACGAGGCGAACCCAAAGGCGCGCGAGGCGAAAGCCCAGGCGGTAATTGTACACAGCTCGCAAGCTGCTTTCGGCTTGGAATTTGTTGCCGCTGCGGGTGTCGATTTGAACACACTGCCTCCCGACGTCCATCGGCTTTGCCTTGCGGGGACGATGCTTGACGGTTTGCTGGTGGTACCTGTGGGTCGCTCGCACCAGCAACGAGCCTTTGAGGCTTGGGTGCCAGACCAACGGCAAAACTGTATATCGCGAACCGCGTTTGAGATTGCCTGTGGTACCAAAGGTGAGAATGCAATGCTGACAGTTCGTGGATCGGGCTTGATTTCGGTGGACGGTAAAGTTGCCCCTCGGGAGACGGGCATCGCGCTGTCGTCTGGAGCTGAAATCGCCTTCCATCATGGCGCCGACATGAATGCCGTGCTGTTGCGGCTCCGATTTGTACCAGGGGAAATCCTGTTGGAGAAAGAGAAAGAGCCGGAGAAGGAAGAGAAGGAGAAAGTGGAGCCCAGTTCGCCCCGGCGCGAGCCGAGCTCGCCTTGCCCTCGCAGGGCCGTTCGGGAAGATCTGGAGCTCAGCCCCTCGCGCGGCAGAGACGCCAGGGACAGAGCTCTGAACAGCTTGGGCAGCTCCGCGGGCACTTGGATCCTCGCCTGTGTACACGTCGAGGGCCTGAGCCCGGGCCAACTTGCAGACCTGCCCAGCGCGGTGCGGGACATCCAGGTCCCGAGCACGCTGCTCCCTTTGATGCTGGGCCGAATCCACCAGAACCAGTTCGAAGCCCTCGCGAAGGCTGCAGACAAGCCGAAGCTGGGGAACTTCATTTCCAGGACACATGGTCAGCTGGATACAGATGCCGACGGCCTGTCGCTTTGCGTGACGAACTTGAGCTCCAATCCGCTGCTTGGGAGCTGGTGGCTTTATGATTGTTGTATGATGATTATGTGCTTGCAGACGCGTAGACTTGTAGGATAGGAGGGAGCTGCATCCATGCCTTCCAAAAGCTCAGGCTTTATGTTGCGGACGAGCTCGTGGCGCAAAGCCAGACCGTAAAGCTGGCGAGAGGCCAGTTGCTGGGCTTTGCACGACCAGAGCAGGAGTCAGGCAACCACATCCACTTCCTCAAGTTCAAGGCAGTTCCGGGCTGACAGTCCGATGTTCTCCGTCCCGCGGTTTTTCGGTGAGAGGCCATCTTGGTGGAAGGAGGCCCTGGCCCCACGAGTCTTCCACTCGGGTCCGCATATCCCCGCCCTTCGCTGCGAGAGACCCCGGGACCCAGGCCCTCTTCGAGGCCAAGAGGCGCCCAACCGTGCCCACGCCGCACACCTGTCTCCGCAGAGAAGTGTCCATCTGGCTCGTTTCTGCACTGCAAACACCGATGCATACCGATGCCATTGCTCTCGATGTTCTTGCAGGTGCAGGTGCGTCGCACGGTGGTGGAGGGCGTTGAGGCAGATGGATGCTCCGACACCGGCTCTTGTGCTCCCCAGCTCAAGTTGCCCCCGTTGAAGGCTCCGCACCTGCTGACGCTGTCGCCGCCGCCGCGGAAAGTGAATCCCGATGCGTCGACGTCGCCCAATCGGGTGCCTGGGGGGCTCTGCATTGCTTGCTTTGAAGCCACGAGGGCCACGGGCCACGAGGGGCACCAGCAAAGACTCTGAGATGCGATGAGGTGAGCCGGATCGCGCGAGAAAGGAACGACGAAAGGCTCTCCGGTCTTTGGGGCTTCGGGAACCCTCTTGCTGAGCTTCGGCGGGGGGGTTGACGCTGCGGCGCCGATGTACCAAAATGGGTTTTCATGACGAGAACATGGTATGGGATGACAGTCTTCGGAGTCTTCCAGTCTTCCAGCCTCCTGAAACAGTTTTGCTGCTCTTTGCTTTAATCTTCTCGGTTTCTGCACCTGTTCGCCTGGGACGAGGCCAGCGCCAGCGATTTGCTTGGAGCTTTCTGGTGATGGAGTCCTTGACGTTCCGGCCAGTGAGCGCAGAATTGGACCAGTTTCCGTACCGGATCAGCCGATGTTCCTCAGCTGACATGGCTCAGATCGGACCGGACCAAACAGAACACGACGAAAGGCGTAGGACGTAGAGTCGTAGTGTTGGTTGCAGCCTGAGGATCGTGGGCAGGAAACATCAGCCAGAGCTTCACAAGCGCGCCGTGAACCCGCAGTGCTTGAAGTTCATGAGCAGGGATCACTTCAGCATCTTCTGCGAACACGGGCTGTTCCGCACCTCGGCAAAACCCGAGGTTTGAGGCGGAAAGAGAAAGAATGTGATTGCCCGGTGCCGAGGAATCGAGCCGTTGACCTCCAACCCCATGTGGCGCTTCCGGGTCGGCTTGGAGCCCCTGGAGCTCGAGCAGCAAAAACCTGCCGAGCTTCGGTCAGGACGGTGGAGTCGGGAGGCAGTCTCAGGCGCCCGGTGCAGATCCTTCCACTCGGCTTAGCTGCTGAGCAGGAGATCGCGTTGCGCTTGGCACAGGTAGTGCGCCGGCCTGAGCGACATTGCTAGACGAGAGGGCCATCTTTTCCGCTTCGGCCTTCTGCTCCTCTTCCCTCGTCACTGTTTGGAACCGGTTTTGTTTGAGGACAACTCGCCAGAGGCAGCCCTTCAGAGCCTTTGCTGGCTCTTCACTGTTGAAGGCGCTGACCCCGCAAAGGCAGGGAACCTCGTTTCCTGAAGGCTTGGTCCGTGGATTGCTCCTCTTTCTTTGAGGTGGAGCCGATGCTGAGCATTCCGCGGGCTCGAACGCCACCATCACCAGGTGGGTTGAAAGAGCCGGCGAATGGAGTCTCGGGGCTCATCGGTGCTGCGAGGTGGGGCTTTTCCCCGTGTGTCTGAAGACAAGCCGTGGGCCATCCGCGTCTTGAGGACCGCACGAGAGCAGAAGTAGAGCAGAAGCGACTCAAACCTTCTTTGGAAGCTTAGGAGCGAAGCTCCGCCGCGCGTGTTTTGCGTCGCATGCGCTGCAGGACGCAAGAGACCTCGGCCGGCCTCGACAGCCCCGCCAGCCCAGCACGCCCTCGGCCTCAGCCACGAATTCGTCAAGCCGGAGACGGCGCTATCAGCCCCGCTGCTCTGCTACACCCCCGAGTCCTTGGCCCAAAGCCCCATCAAGGCGAGCGGCTCCTCTCTGAGAGCGGTGCACCGAAGGCCAAAGCCAAGAGTCGACCTCTCCACTAAAGTTTTAACAGGTACTCGAAGTCCACGGAACGTGGGATGCCTGTGGAAGAGAGCCGTGCTTTGGGCTGTCGCCACACCACCACGCACCTCCACGCACCACCACGCACCACACTCCAACACCTCATGCCAATGTTATTGTGTGGTCACAGCCGTCTTTCTCATAAGTCTTGCGAGTTCGGCGCCTCCTTGCTTAGCAAGGAACCATGTAGGACGAACTTGCATCCCGGGTCCGGCTTACTTTTCATGTGGGAGCAGACAGTGATGTGCAAGCTCTTGCCGCCGTAGCGACTGACGGGAGGCAAGATTAAATCCATGCAGCCATGTGCTGGCACAGGCTCTTTTGTAGCAAGCACGCTCTGCTCGAGCTACTGGCGCCAGTAGGTCGATGCTTTTCCATCCCGGACAAAAGGGTCCTCAGAACGTGCTCGCTTTCAAGCAAAGCCCCTGCGGTCCGTGTTGAGACTTCGAACTTCAGCTTTTCAAAGCTTTTCGGTTCAAGGCCAGGGCCATGACGTCGGTGACGTTAGCTCCATGTTCGGCAGCCCCGACGCAGATGCAAGGGCCGCAAGGGCCGCAAGGGCCGGGGCCCGGGTCTGGCCGGGCGACGTGGCGTCTGCCTGGCCTCAGCGGGTGGCCACGGCCAGCCCTCCGCCTCCGCGCGCAAGGGCAGCGCCCTGCGCGGTCCCGGTCCCGGGGCAGCCTGGCACACAGCGCCTGCCGCGAGCTGTCGTTGAACATCTGCGACTCGTTCATCTCACACAGCTGGATGAGCTCTCGGATCTTCGCACCCGACTGCGAGCTACGAGGTGACTCAAAAGATTCCTTTCTTAGGAATCCGTGCAATGTGCACCTTTGCCAGGGACCTGGAGCGGCGGAGACATGACCTGCAGCAACAGCTCGTGGCCGTGCGACAGCAGGAGGCCCTTGGAGACAAGGGAGGGAGCTCCTTTTGTGATTCTTCGTTGTGTTCTTCTTGCATAAATCCCCCCCTTGCTTTTTACAGGAGCAGCTCTCCGCGGAGGCGTCAGCTTGCGCCCGGCATCTGGCCCAAAGGCATCAGGCACTTTCGATGCTCCGCTACTTGGCACCGAGTACAGCGCGAGTCACACCCGAAGTGTCTGTCAGTTAGGTGTTACTTCCCGCAGTTACAGCAACGTTGAGAGACGATGACTTAGCCGCGGCGAGATGCGAACTTTCTTGGAAGGCCTGGAGGGTGCTGACCTGGAGAAGAGCTGCAGCAATGCAGAGGCACATATCTTGGTCTTGCGCAACATCGCCGAGAAGCTCAGCGCGGATGCATTGGCAGAGGACAGCAGTCGCCGTAGCCGTCACATGCCCTTGCCGAGTTGATGGTTTCATTTATGAAGTTGTGTGTGCCCTCGCAAAGCGACTTTCAAACGCAGGCCCGTAGGTGGGAGACGTGCAAAACGAGCACTCGCGCCTGCAAAGCTGGCAAATCTGTTTGGGGGCTGCCGCCAACCACCGCCATTCTTCGGAATGCAGCATGCCGTTATGCGCATGCACGCATGCTCTGCAGGAAAGTCGGGCGGCCGTGGTCCCAGAATCTGCAAAGCCAGCAGGTCTGGAGGCGGCGACTTCTGCTCAGGCGCTCCTGCAGCCTTTCTCCTCGCTCTTGAGCCCATCCGAGTGGCTTGCCCGTGACAGGTAGGAGAGAAGGAGGCCAGAGAGGCGCGGGGCGAAGATGCGGAGGTGGCTAAGGCGGCTAAGGGGCTGCCTGAAGCCAACGGCTCACAACCAGCCAGCAAGGAAGCGGTGCTCTCTGTGCTCTCTGAAGCACAGGCAGCTCAGAGAGCAGAGGCCGAGGCAAAAGAACCGCCTTCGGCCACAACCGAGACAGAGCCAGACGGCATTGCAGGTGCCGTGAAAGAAGCCGAGCCCAAACTAACGCCGGAGGCCGCAGAGCCAGTCACGCCCGCGGAGCCCAAGGTTGCAGAGCCAGCAGCCGCCAACCCAGCCGACAAAGCGGAAGCCGCAGATCTCGCCAAAATTACAGAGCCAGCAGCCTTCAGAGCAGAAGCAGCCATCAACGCTGAAGCCGCAGAGCCCGGAGTTACAGAGCTAGCAGCCACGAAGCCAACAGCAGTGAAAGCGGAAGCCACAGAGCCCAAAGTTACAGAGACAGCAGCCACGGAGCCAGCAGCAGAAGCAAGAGAGGCAACACCCGCAGAGCTCAAAGGCTCCGAGCCAGCGGCCATGCCAGCAGCCGTGAAAGCGGAAGCCACAGAGCCCAAAGTTAAAGTTATAGAGCCAAAAGCTGCAGAGCCAGCCGTCAAAGTAGAAGCTCGAGAGACCGCAGAGCCAAAAGCTACAAATCCGGCAGCCGTGGAAACGGAAGCCAGAGTGGCGGCAGCCGCGGCCGCACAGCCAGCAGCCACAGAGCCAGAAGCCATCAAGGTCGAATCCACGACAAAGGCAACAGCCACAGAGTCAGCAGCCAGCAAGGAGGAAGCCAGCGAGGCAACATCCAGAGATTCAGCAGCCAGGGAAGCAACTGCAGTGGCTGTGGCAGCCGGAGAGACCACTGGCGAGGAAGCCAAAGAAACGAAGGAGCAAGCAGCCGTCAAAGCGAAAGCCACCATGGAAGCTGCAGGGGCTGTGGAACCAGCAGCATCAGCAGTCACGACAGCGTCAGCAACAGCGTTAGCGGCTTCAGTGGCTGCTGAGCCTTCGGCCCCGGCACTTGTGCACGCGGAGGCGGGCAAACAGGACGAGGCCACGTCAAGCGCTTACGGACACGCCGTCGTGAGTACGGCAGCACTTCAGGGTGCAGCCGGAACCGGCCAAGCAGAAACTGGCCTTGCGGATGGGACTCCAGGCCAGGAAGGGAAAGGTGCAGAGGCTGGCGAGGCCCCTGCGCCCGCAAAGCCGGCAGATCCTGCACTAGCCGGCGTGCCCGAGGCTGGTAGTGACTGAACATAACGGATACATGCGGTTGACGCTGTCCGTGCACCTGTCAGGCGGCTCAGCAGGAAGATCGGACAGCTTCGGGCGCATCTGCAGAGGTGCCTTCCCTGTGCCTTCAAGTCTTTGGTGCTCGTTTGCTGGTTGGCTCGTCGGCATTGGCCGTTGCGAGGCAGTGCAGAAGGGGGAGGACTCTTCCGAACAGGCGGTGGCCCGCAGCTCCGTGCAAAGCGAGCAGAGGCCACCCGTGGAGACGACGCTCGGGGCATCTGCAAAGCCCGAAGAGCCCACGGCAAGCAAAGATACGGACTCCAAAGAGGCCGAAGCCGCTTCCGAGCTGGCGACGGCAGCGAAAGGGCCAACAATTCAGGAGAAGGCAGCCGCTGATCCGGCAGCTGCAGCTGTGGCAGCAGCAGCGTCGTCGGCAGTCGCAGCGGCCACTGCAAAAGCGCTGGCATCAGCAACGTCCGAGCCCGAAGGCGCAGTCGGCACAGAAGCTGGCCAGGCCGCCCCCCCTACAGCAAAGCTCACCGCGCCTTCTGAACCTTCACAATCCGCAGAGGCTGCGGAGCCGGCAGATACCGGCCAGCCCGCCATTCCCGAGCCTGCGGCCAACACCGACTCCAAGACCGGACCGGTCGAGGCTGGTAGCCACACGTAGCGACCGGACAGTTGTTTCAGCTGCGACCTTGTTCAGCGCCTCTAGTAATAGTTTTCTCGGTTCTTCTTCGTTAGTTGGGGAACTGGCTGGCCCACCTCGCCTTTGTCAAGGATGTTCATTCAACAGGACCACAAAACTCGGGGAGCTCCAAGTGCCGAGGGCCGCCGAGCCCAAACGACTGAACTCGAAGGGTTGTGTTGGAGCCAGGTTGGACTCGACGCAATTGGAGGGTTCCAAACGACCTTGGAGAATACCACTGGAGACATGCGGAACCTTAGACAGCCCAGCATTGCAGAGCGCTTGCAGTGCGATGTCAAACATGAATCTTACCCATCTGACAGCCAACCTCAGCTTGTCAGGCGGTCCAGCAGGAAGATCGGACAGCTACGGGCAAGTCTGCGGGAGCAGGTGCTAGCCCTGGACAAGCAGCCGAGGCCGTCACGTCGATGTGGACTTGGGGGTCAAGTGCAGTATCTACTCCAAGACTCTAAGCTTGTCCCAACGTCTGCCAGCCATGCTTCTTGTCTTGCATGTTGGAGGTAACAGGAGGCGATGAGGCTGCTGACAGTCAGCAGTTGGAGGAGGGAGCGAAGCGCATGTCTGCTATCGATGGGATGGACGACTTGCTGGCCGAGCTCTTGCAGCAGGAGGAGGAGCCCGAGGAGGCAGAGGCAGAGGGGGCAGCGGAGGAGGAGGCAGAGGAGGCGGAGGGGGCAGATGAGGCAGAGGAGGGGGCTGAGGAGTGGGCAGAGGGAGCAGAGGGAGCAGAGGGAGCAGAGGGGGCAGAGGAGGAGGAAGTTCCAGCTGCATCCAAGGAAGCCCCGCTAACCACATCTGAAGGGGTGGAGACAGCGAAACCCGACGATGATAAGGCAGCAGTAGGAGCAGAGCCAGCTGTGGAAGCTGCCACAGCAGAGCCAGTGCCGGCTGCAGAGGCCACGGCGGAGGAGGCAGCGGCCACAGAGCCGGAAGCAACGCAGCAGGCTGAAGCTGAAGCTGATGCCGCGGCAGAGGAAGCCGCAGAGGCCGGAGAGACAAAGAAGCGTCGCAGACGGAAGAAGCCCAAGGAAGATCAGGTCGATGCGGCAGAGGCAGAGGCGGCAGACGCAACCCTCGCGACCGCTGACGCGGGCGAAGCCGCAGGAGGCCAGCCTCCGGCAAGCAAGGACCACCAGGAGCAGGCGGAGCCAGCAGCGGCAACAGCAACAGCGTCAGCCACACCCGCATCAGCGGTGTCTGAGTCCCAGGTAGACGCGGCTTCAACCCCGACAGTTGATCTGGCACGGGAGGCTGGCAAACAGGACGAGATTTCAAGCGCTGATGGGCATGCTGTCGTCGGTGCCTCAGCATCTCGGAAAAGTGCAGTCGCAACAGGCCAAGCAGAAACTGGTTCCGCGGATGGCGCTGCAAGCCAGAGAGCCGCAGGAGCTGGCCCGGCTGCTCCTCCTGCAGAAAAGCCCGCCGCAGAAGCAGATCCCGCACCGCCCGCCGTGCCTGAACCTGCTGTCAAGAGCGACTCCAAGAGCGCCGAGACGCCGGCTGAGAAGAAGACGGAGGCGGAGCCGGAGACCCCGACGGCCAAGAGCGACTCCAACACCGGCCCGCTCGAATCTGAAACGTGGGAGTGCGAAGCAGGCGAGGATGTTGGTGAGTTGGGGATTTTCCCTGCAGCATTTCCCCCTGATCCTGTGGAAATCTACTCAGTCACCGAGGGTTCTTGGGCGGCAGAGGAGGGAGTCGTGGCGGGCGATGTTCTGGTGGCCATTAACGGAAAGCCCGTTCCGGAGAAGAAAGACATGAAGCGCCTGATGAGGGAACGGCCTCTGCGCCTCACCTTTCAGAGGCCTTTGCTCTTCGAAACACCCGAGGAGTCTGCAGACGAGACGCCGATCCCGGGATTCGAGTGCAAGGCTGGGCCGGAGGTCCCGGATTTGGGAATCTTCCCCTCAGCCTTTCCACCGGATCCGATGCTCGTGGCCAGGGTCACAGAGGCTTCTTGGGCAGAAGAGCAGGGCATCTTGCCTGGAGACGAGCTCGTGGAGATCAAAGGGAAGGCAGTTCAAGAGATGACCGCGAAGGAGGCGAAGCGAGCAATGAGGGAGAGGCCTCTTCTCCTGTTCTTCCACAGGTCGGAAGAGCCGGCTTCGGCGTCAGCCTCCTCGGCGCCGGCCTCCTCCCCATCCCCGCCGCCCAAGCCACGAAAGTCCAGGGCGCCTGAGACGCCGGACGATGTGCTGAGCCAGGCTCGGAAGTCCCTGGCGGCCATCCTGCCCGACGGCATGAACCCCTTAGCTGCCTCCACGTCGAGCCTTCCCTGCAATTGAGCCTGAGACCCCGAAGTTCAAGCAGAAAGTTGAGTCGAGAGAGCTTTCCGCTTTGCGCTTTCCGGTCCCCGAGGAGCTCCAGCGCTCGCAAGCCCGGGCCTGAGCCGCGCAGCTTCCTGCTCTCTGTGTCGCAGTCTGGCCCCCAGAGGTCCAGAAGGGCAGAGACCGAAGGACTTCGAACCTCCAAAGTTGTCTTCCAAGAAGAGGCCGCCCTGTCCCCCCCCCCCCCCGCGCAATGGGCACAATGCATCAGACAACTGTTCCCAGTCGACTCTGATCTGATATGCCCGGTAAGAAGTACAGAGGCAGTAACTCCATGTTCCTGTTGCGCGAAGAGTGTCCCTTCGTGCGCATTCCCTTGAACCTGGCTTTAAGAGAGAGTAACATCACCAGACTATGACGGGCCGACAAAATCCAGCAACTTGAACATGAAACTCCTTGCAATGCACTGCGTTGCTGCACTGCTGCACGCGTCCAGGCAGCGGAGGAGGACGGCTGGGATGACGAGGACGACGACGATTGGAATCAGCCCGCGCCTCAGAAAGGCACCAAGGGCAAAAAGGACGAGAAAGCCTCCGAGAAGAAGAGCGACAAGAAAGGGAAAGACGGCAAGGAGAAGTCGAAGCAAGGCAAGCCTGAGAGTGAGAAGGGTGACAAGAAGGAGAAGGAGAAGGCGAAAGAGAAGCCGAAGGAGAAGGCCAAAGAGAAGGAGAAGGAGAAAGCAAAGGAAGCTCCGAAGGAGAAAGAGAAGGAGAAGAAGGAAGAAGCCCCGCCGTCGGGGGCTCCAGTTGGCTCTTCTCCGCGCAGACTCCCGGTGACACAGTTCTGCCGAGGCCCCTGCTTTGCTTTGCCTCCGCAAGCGACGCGCGCCTGGGCTTCAAAGTCGACTGGCCGCCGAACCCCGCCTACGTCAGCAAGGCCATTCCGGGACGGAGCGGTCGCCTCTGTGCTGCCAGACTGCCAGTGAGGTGGACCGAAACAGCTGGGCCGAGATGGCGCAGGCTCTCGGGGCTCCCCCTTGGGGGTTTTCCGGCTGCCGCAGTGCCGCAGTGAATCGTCGCGAGTACTAGTGCACCCTGGCTTGGGGCCTCAAGGTAGAAGTTGGTCTGCGATTGGACAAAGCCGGCGGCAAGGATGTGGCAAAGATGAGCAAGGAATCCCGCGAGCAAACTTGCATCGTGTCGTCAGTTGCTGGACGTTCTTTGCCAGCCTGTGGCCGAGGAGAAGCTCAAAAAGATGCTTGACGAGACTAGGCCTCTAGAATTGGCGTTCGTCAAGGACAAGGCGGGAGGCTGAGTAGCATTATCAACCCAAGAGACTCCAGCGATCACTGCAGAAGAAGAAGAAGCCGCCAAGTGCCAAGCCCGAGAACGAGGGCTTGCTGGGAGGAATGTTTGGTTGAGCTCCCTCTGAACCTCCCGAAGTGGATATTTCAGAGTCGAGCTCTCGCACATTTCCGGAAAATGAGGCGCACAAGGGGTCGAACGACATGCAGGATCGCCACGCAGCCGGAGACTGCATGGTGTTGAACGTGGCCGAAGAACGCAGAACCCTGACACATGGCTCCATCAGAGACTTGTCCGGAATAGAATCACTTGCTCTCGCAGCCGAGCCGGCATTGTTGCAGGAGCCGTCCCATCAGCTTCTGCTGAAAGAGTTCTTTGTTGCATCTCCACCATTACGGAAATGTAGGGCACACGCGTAGGGCTTGTCGCCATGGGCTTGTCCAAGCAGCTCCTCCCATGCTCTGCGTCTGCGGCCGACCGGGTGGGGTGCGCGAGCCCTGCCAAAGGCCATGAGAGATCAACAGCGAGATCAACAGACGAGGGCTTCGGTGATTACATTGGTTTTGTTGCGGTGTGTATTGCATATATGATCATGTGTGTGTGTGTGTGCATGCGAGCAAGTCTCTTGTGAACTTGTCGTGTGAGCTTTCGTGTTTGGATGCATGTTGTTACATGACCTCAACCTCAGTCTGCCACCGGTCTGTTTCTTTGTGCACAAGAGCATCTTTCACTGCAACCTGCAAGTGTGACTGTAGGGGCTTCTAGACCATTCTAGACCTATAGACCACTGCGTCTCAGATAGCCTTGAACATCGTGACCTTGCGCGTGCTTGTCCCAGTAGCCGGTTCTGTTTTCGTGAAGGGATAAAAAAGGGTATGTCCTGTTTTGTGCAAGACTCGTATAAGAGATGGCTCGCTACAGCCTTTTGGATTGTCTGATGCACCTTGTCCTTCACTGTGTGAGAGGGTGTGAGTCTGTTGTCCAGGTCATGACCTCACCAGCCGCTTGACGCCGTTTCCTTTGTTGAGTGTGAAGCTCACATACACCATCCTTCTACGAAGAATCGGTGTGCTGGCATGAGCCCACGAAATCATGTGCAAGAGGTGGTGCGGATAAGCAGCCATATCGCATGCAACACTTCTGTGCGGTTCCAAAGCAAGGTCGGCGCTCACGGTGCCACAGAAAATCTCGATCACTCCATGGCAGCCGCATGCTTGCTACGGGTAGCATCTTGCCAGCCTGTCGGGCACCGCTGGCAGCCATCAGGATGGCGGATGGCGGGCAAGGCTTCGCTGCGTTTTTCAATCGCCACGAACAATTGCCGATTAGCGGTGAGCCCGCGACCGCGAAAGATGCGCAGGTGGTGGGGGCCTTGCCCGAGAGTTGCCTGATTCGTTCAGCCTTGGACCGAGTAAATTCCAGACGGCGTAGTCATCTGCAAGCTTAGCGGAATCTAGGACGCATGCAGCGTGGAGCTGGAATTCGGTTCTGCGAGGGCCATTCCGAGACCCAGCGATTCAGCAGATGTAATGGGATGTAGTGATAATAGGGCCCGACGGTGTTTGGCTTTGAGTGCCTGACTTCTGGCACCCGAGATGCCAAATTTTTGCAGGAGGTTTTTGGGATGTCCTTCTACTAATGCTGCGAGGCCTTGATGTGGTCGTTCCATGCTGCATATGACATATGCAGCACCGACATTGTCGGGCTGACCGTGAACCCAGTGAACTTTGCCCTAAACCGCCAAGCGCCGTGAAGACGCCTCCAAGACCAAGTGCACCTTCTAGCACCACCGCCCCGTCGAAACACGGACTGCAGAAGAGAAGAAGCTCCGTGGGGAGATGCAGAGCTGCTGAGCTGCTCGGGCCTGGGGGGGCGCAGTCCATGCTCGCGCTCGTTTCGGCGTGCTACTGTGCTGCCGCGCGCATGGCAAAGAGAAGGAGGCAGCCCGGCCTGAGAGCGGGGGTTTTTTTTGCATGCCTAGAAAAGCCCGTCTGAGTCTACGTTGGTTCAGTAGAGTCATTCTACTGTAGAGCCTTAGCCTTAGGCCCTGTTGCAGTCCCCAGGCTAATGCAGAATGTCTAGTCGCGCTAGTCTGTTGAGGACCGGAGTCTGTGCCGCAGCCGGCAAGATTTGGTCGGGTTCCGGTCGCTCAGCTGCCGCTTGCCACAGCTCCTTCCTTGCCCGAGTGCAAGGGCCACAACGACAGCACAGATGCCCGATGGCTGATTCGCTGTGGCACCCCATGTTGCATCCCACCCTACCCTGCATTCTTTACTTCAAAGATTCATAGCGAACGCCAGAACAGCGTTTCCCGGATTTCCGGACCCTTGAGCCGTGCTTAACCTTTGCCACTGCGGTGAAGTGTTGCCTGCTTCTAGCTGCGGCAGGCCATGGCAGGCATTCGGCGGTAGTCAGAGTCAAAGCAGTCCGGCCGCCTTCAGACACAGACTCCGCAGACTCTTTTTGATATCGCAGGGGCCAGGCAGACCTCACTGAAACGAATGAGTCTCCCGACCTGGGACTCCCTGCATTCGGGCATTTGCTGTCAAGGCTCGCGGTGCTAGCCTTGGCCGCCTTGGCCACGGCCAGTGCTTTGCAGTTTGGTCCACGTTGTTTTGCTGGCCTCTGGCCAGGTCTCTGAGTTCACGGATGTGCCACTGACCAGCTGCTCTAGCCCCCGCCCATCCTACCAGTAGCAGCCCTAGTACTCAATCTGCCACACTGGACCCGTCTCTGATGGTGCTCCAGTGCAGAGGGCGCGTTAGCGCCATCGGCATCGGTCTCAGTGGGCGTCTGAGGCCAAGGACTGAAGGGAGCCCTGAAGCTCCGCCTCCGGGTTCCTGGGTTCCCTGCTGCCCGAAAGGACCTTGACCCCTGCGACCTTTTATGGCCTTTTGGCAAGGTCTCAAACTTTCATAGGTGTAGTCCGGCCCCCATTGACCTAGCCATCAGATAACTCCGAAGTGTTATTTTACCTTGACAAAAATGGTCGTGCTAAGACTCTTGAGTACGAGCGAGTCCGGTTAGTGCCTGCCAGTTCTCCAGCTACAACTACGTGAAGCTGCTACAGCCGAGTGCGTTGACCTCAGGCGGCTTCAGGGCTTCTCAGTACCGTTCGTGAGATCGTTGAACTGTGTGTGCAATCGTTGACAGGCCGTGATGCCGGGAAGGATCCAGGCCACGGCTTTTGCTTTGTCTGTTTCGGGTTGGGTCACTTGTTCGCGGCTGCGGATGCATCATTTACGGGCAATAGTGTGCAGCAAGAAGTCGCCAACCCCTTCGTCATCAGTGCCATCGTCATCATCATCACCACCATGGGTAGCATCACGTCATAGTCATCGTCGCTGCCGCCGACGTGTCGAGGTCGGTCGTCTTTGTTTCGGCGTTGCCGTGATTATCGCCACCATCGTGGTCACCATCCCCATCCCCAGCATCTTCGTTGTCAAAGTTGTCAGCTGCATCACCACCACCACAGGTATGGCCTTTACATCACCACCTGATTTCTTATCATGAAGTTTGTGTAAGCATCGTCTTCACGAACCTTGCCGCAAGCAGTGCGATCCCGGACCTCGTCATCAGCAGTGTTGTGAAGAGTTAAGCCAGAGAAGCCCTGACCAGCGGCGTTTCATAGAGCACAGGGCCAATCCTTATCCAAAATCAGAACCCCCCTCGCCAGGAGAGGAGTACAGAAGCTTCACAGCTTCACGACGGAGCCTTGCCACCAAGACTAACGCGCACGGCAGGCCACAGTGTACACGACCGAGCTTGCAATGTGTCACATAGAATAAAGCAGACGTTTGTCCATCGTCTCGTGCCACGCTTTCCATCAGTTTCCGGTCTCGGCCAAAGGCCGCCACAGGGCCAATGCTGCAACAGCTCAGCAGAGACTGCGAGAGCTGTGGCTACCCACCCTTTGGAGATGTTCTTGATGCTCGATCGTCAACCCTTCGCAGAAACTGCCCAAAAGTTTGCCGCAAGTGCCGGTGCCTAACCGGCCATGATTGACCTGGGGTGTTGGCCGCTAGCCTCGCTAGCCTGTGCGAGTGGGATGGCACGGGCGTAGCCGCCACACTGCAACCTGTCCCAGCAGAAAGCCTTTCCGTCGCGTGTTGCATGCGCTCGAAGCCAGTGCTGACAGTGAACAAGTTACAGGTGTCATGCAATTGTCCCATGCGAGAAAGGTACGTGCCGGTCCAACTGCTCTCCAATTCGCCCATCTACTTGCTGGTGTCTGCATGCAGACAGTCGGTGCAACAGGTGAGCAGTTCGGCAGTTTGGCATCGTCCGTCAGTGTTTGTGATCGGCAAAAGTTCTTGATTCTCCGCTTGTCTTGATGGACATGTAGCCCAACAGAGGCCGTTTGCAGTAGTGGGCCGTTGTGTTCTGGGGCCCAGAGCCATGACGACCGTGGCGATGCCGCTGCTTTGCCAGAGATCAACGGTAGCTTGAGCGAGTGGTCTTCATCGCAGAAAGCGCGGAATCAGAGAAACCGCACTCTCAGCTCCGTCTTGGGAGTTCAGACGACTTAACATGCGTAGACTGGCATGTTGGCTGAACATATGTGATGCCACGCTCGTCCTTCCAGTGTTGAAACTGCAGAAGTGGCGTAAGTGTGCTGGTGTCCGCGGTTGGGCCGTCGGCCACTGAAAGCCGTGATGTTCCCATTCAGACAATCGTGGCGAAGCACGTGGCACTAGGCCAAAGTCCGCCAGAGGCTCGTGTTGGAGTGGCTCCAGTCACGAGCTCCGCATGCTCCGCTTCACACGTTTGCCTGAGCAGGCACGAATTGACTTAAGGCGGTGGTGATCAGACCGTTTCGTCTCCGACCAAATCTTTCATGCATGGCAGTGTTTTGAGGTCAGCTTTCCGCCGCATGCATCGCTAACATAGCAATCTCACTTGCTCGCACATCTTCGAGGCCAGGTCCGGAAATCTGGGCGTCTACTCGGAAACTTGCAGCTTCGACAAGGCCCTGTGATAACTGAAGCTGCGAAGCCTGTCGGCCTATCGCTGCACAGCCGTTGGCAATGCAGCGATTCCTTAGGAACTTCGGAGGCAGCCGGGACGGAGCTTTGGGCAGCCTAGAGCCTCTCTTGAGAGTCTTGTTCACACTGCA